AAATTAATAGAATTCCTGTTGCATTATAGCTTGCCACTGACCGACTGACCAACTCAACTCGGCTGCCCACCTCTTACGTATCAACAACAACACATTTATTTACCCTAGTCTCTTTAGAGGAAAAAAAATTGATATATATATATATATATAAAATAAAATTTTGTTGTCTTGAATAAATGTCTTCTCCGATCCTATTCGTAAGAGCCCTATATGACTTTCACTCTACAGATGTCTCCAGTCTTTCCTTCAGGAGGGACGATATAATACAAGTCCTCACCCGACTTGAGTCTGGGTGGTGGGATGGTCTTTGTAATGGCGAGCGCGGTTGGTTTCCAAGTAATTATGTCACTGACATATCCAACGAGGAGGAAATGTTGGACGAGAATGAACAGGTAGGCTTTCCGAACATCGGGAAGGCAATCCGAGGAATTACTCTACGTTAAAGTTTTTTTTTCTCGGATCTGAAATCCCTTGTGAATGAATGACTCATGTCCGAAGATAACTAATACCCTGATGTTCGAATGTTTAAAATCACAGGCATCCGATTGGATTCCTCAGCGAACTCCCGACGGTGATCTCTTCTATTACAATCAACGAACCGGCGAGCGCACTTGGGAATTATCAATGGATGACGCAGAGTCCGCTCGATCCGTGAATCCGCGCGACTCTTCTTCAATTGGCGAAGGAGTCAATCAAGGCAATATCACGAGTTCCAACAATAGCATCACCACCAGAAGCACCACCAATTCTCCTCGTTCAAGTGTATTAACGAGGTCCCGCCAGCTACCCGAAAATTGGATACAACAGCCTACCGAAGACGGCAACACCTATTACTACTACAATACCATAACGAAAGAAACAAGGTGGACTTATCCGAGTGGGGGCGGTTCAACGACCGCCACCTCCACCAGTTCCGAGAATGATGATGAAAAGGAGGAAGAGGAGATTGATGATCGAGTGGTGTCGGCCCGGGTCGAGGAGGAGGTGGCCGAAGGTGAGGTGGATGATGTGGAGGCAGCTGACAAAGAGAGCATCGCCAGCTCGAGGGGTAGTCGATTGAGCACAAGCACCATTGGAACAATTCAACAAAGGCAACAAAATCAACAACAACAATCTTCGGCCAATGAAAAGCTTCCGCCAAATTGGGGAAGAAAAACGACCCCTCAAGGTCGTG